TTTCTATGTCGGGCTTTAAAACTCATTTTCAGAAACTAATGATGACATCACTGAGACGACGTCCATCTTTTATACACACACACCACACACACACACACACACACAGTCTGTGATGTAAATGTGTGTGTATATAAAGATTGAAAGTGTGTATCTCTGACGTCAGGCACTGTGCCTCAGGTAAAGCTCACTGTGTGTGTGTGTGTGTGTGTGTGTGTGTGTGTGTGTGGTGTGTGTGTGTGTGTGTGTGTGTGTGTGTGTGTGTGTGTGTGTGTGTGTGTGTGACTGTGTGTGTGTGTGTAGGGTCTGACTGCCAGTGATAAGAAATGTTTCGAGGACATGGCGAAGGCCGACAAGGTGCGCTACAACAGCGAGATGAGAGACTACGTCCCCCCCAAGGGCTTCGGGAAGAGGGGCCGCAAGAGGAAAGACCCCAACGCCCCCAAGAGACCCCCGTAAGTCACCTGTCTCACACCCGTATGTAACACACACACACACAGTAGATCACCTGTCTCACACCCGTATGTAACACACACACACACAGTAAATCACCTGTCTCACACCCGTATGTAACACACACACACACAGTAAATCACCTGTCTCACACCCGTATGTAACACACACACACACAGTAAATCACCTGTCTCACACCCGTATGTAACACACACACACACAGTAAATCACCTGTCTCACACCCGTATGTAACACACACACACACAGTAAATCACCTGTCTCACACCTGTAGGCACCACACACACACACACACACACACACACACACACACAGCACGTCACCTGTCTCACACCTGCAGGTACCACACACACACACACACACACACACACAGTACGTCACCTGTCTCACACCTGCAGGTGCCACACACACACACACACAGTACGTCACCTGTCTCACACTTGCAGGTACCACACACACAGTACCTCACCTGTCTCACACCTGCAGGTGTCATACACACACAAACACACACACAGTACGTCACCTGTCTCACACCTGCAGGTGCCATACACACACACACAGTAAGTCACCTGTCTCACACCTGCAGGTACCACACACACACAGCACGTCACCTGTCTCACACCTGCAGGTACCACACACACAGTACGTCGCCTGTCTCACTCCTGCAGGTGCCACACACACACAGTACGTCGCCTGTCTCACACCTGCAGGTACCACACACACGCTCAGTACGTGACCTGTCTCACACCTGCAGGTACCACACACACACACACACACAGTACATCACCTGTCTCACACCTGCAGGTGCCACATACACACACAGTACGTCGCCTGTCCCACACTTGCAGGTACCACACACACACACACAGTACGTCACCTGTCTCACACCTGCAGGTACCACACACACACACACAGTACGTCACCTGCCTCACACCTGTAGGTACCACATTTCCTGATTTGGCTCTTTCACAATAAAAGCGTTTCCTCAACATAAAACCTTTTTATAGGGGAGTTCACTCAGAGCTTCAGCGCGCTCAGCAGGTAACGGGGAGTTACGTCCTTCCAGCACAGCCTGTGTCAGAGCCCAATATATAAATGTCTGTTTAACTGGTGAGGAAGTTAGTCCCCTAGGAACACGGGATCGCGGTGACATCATCACGTGGTCAATCCTCCTGGTACTTCCTGCTGAACGTTTTTTTTCAGGATGTTCTCCAGAGTGTGTGAAAACCATCACCTGTTACCGTGGTAACAGAGATGCTGTCTCTCTCTCTCTCGCTGCAGGTCAGCGTTCTTCGTGTTCTGCAGCGAGTACCGCCCCTCCGTGAAGCAGCAGTACCCCGGCCTGTCTATAGGAGACTGTGCTAAGAAGCTGGGAGAGATGTGGAGCAAACTGTCCCAGAGCGAGAAACTACCGTACGAAGAGAAGGCCCAGAAACTACGCGAGAAATACGACCGGGTGAGACACACACACACACACACACACACACACACACACACACACAGGTAGATCGACAGGTGTGTGTGTGGACACGGCTCTGACTGCTTCCTGTCTTTCTCACAGGACATGGTGGCGTATCGTGGCGGCGGCACCGCATACCCCAGAAACCCCGGCTCCTCCGCTCAGGGAGGAGGGGAGGAAGACGACGATGAGGGGGAGGACGATGACGACGACGAGGACGACGACGAGTAGAGAGCGAGAGAGGATGAGAGAGTGTTAAAGGTGTGTGTGTGTGTGTGTGTGTGTGTTTCAGAGCAGGTAGAGTGAAGGTGTCTGTGGAGGCTGATTGGACCGCAAGAGGCGGGGCTTAATTAAGATTAGAAACAGACGATAAACAAAGTCATGTGCAGCGCAGTGTCAGTCACACCTGACTGTACCAACAAGTGTGACTTCACACAGGTGTGACATCACACAGGTGTGTTTTTAAACAGGTGCTGAAAACACACAGGGGTGACATCACACAGGTGTGTTTTTATAAAGGTGTGACATCACACCTGTGTTGTTGTTTTTTTAAACAGGTGTGACATCACACAGGTGTGTTTTTTAAACAGGTGCTGAGAACACAGGTGTGTTTTTAAACAGTTGTGACATCACACAGGTGTGACATCACACAGGTGTTTTTTTTTTGTTTTTTTTTACCAGATGTTAGGTTGAGAACGGTTGAACCAGGTGAGGCTGAAGGTGATTGGACCGATCAGATTGATTATTGTTGAACATGTGATGATCAATAATCTGAGAGACAGGTAGAGAGAGAGAGACGGGTTCCTCTGAAGCACACACGCCTCCACAGTGTGTGTTTGTATGTGTGTGTGTGTGTGTGCGAGGTCATCAGATGATAAACTGTCTGACACCAGAGGACAGCCCCCCCCGCCCCTCACTGTTACCATGGTTACCCCTGCACCCCCCCCTCTAAGCCCTGTGTGTTACCATGGAAACGTGGCCCCACCCCCCCTTCATGTGGTTGTTTTTTGTTTTTTACTGAAGTTTGATGAGTTTGTTGTTGTTCACTGTCAAGAGAAGAAACTTCAACTTTTATAATAAAACCGACACCTGAGGAAAACACACTTGTCTGTGCGTCTGACTCCGCCCACAACATTCACTCACACACACACTCACTCACTCACTCACAGGGGATGTCCTCTGAAGGACATTGTCAGTTCTCTTCAGTAACTCCAGGGTTATGACGGTGGTTCATTCTCACAGATCACCATGGTAACTGATGCTCATTATCATCTCTTTACAAACGCTTTTCCTGTATGATTTTAAATAAATGACTTCATTACAGCTCTAACACCTGAAGACGATTTGTACGTATAAGATATAGAAATGAACGTACTTTACTTTCAGTGCTGTATTCATTCTGAGCCACGTATCGCTCAGAACGCCGCCAGAGCTGCAGCCCTCGTCGGCCTTCTTTTGGCCGATTCAACATGTTGAATCAACGGTCGGTGAGAGGGATCTCTCTGATTGGCTGTTGGGAGGTTTCATTTCTCTCCTCTCAGGTTCAGTAAAGCCTCCTGAGCATGTCTCTGTAGTCTCCATGCTTTCACCCATTAGTGAGGTTTCTCCTTATTTGTCTCCTCCTCCTCTTCTTTTCTTTTTCCACTCAAAGACCAAGAACTGACAACACCAGCGCCATCTTCTTCTTTTTATCAGACATTATTCTCCGTTAGTAGACGACCTATAATACGAGTGGTGACCGACAGCGGTGTGAAAATGGTCTTCTCGTATCATAACAACGGACTACCGCCCCCTGCTGGCATGGAGAGTTATTTCCTCTCATGAGCAGAACAGACGTGGTGATTGGCCGTCGGCTGGAGTCTGCGGTGTGTTCAAGTGCAACTCTTCGGCATTCGTTGCCACTAGTTCTTTGCCGCCTGCTGGGTGTGTCGGGGCCTTAAGGCTGAGCTCAGACACCCTCCACAGGAAACTCATTTGGGCCACTTGAATCCTCGATCATATCTTTCAGACTCTACCCAGAGCTCATGAGCACAGGTGTGAGGGTCGGAACGAAGATCGACCGGCAAATCAAGAGCCATGCCTTCAGGTTCAGCCTCCTCTTCACCACAACGGTCTGGAACAATGCTCGCATTCCTGCAGACGCTGAGCCAATCCGTCGGTTCCCACCCTCGATTTCAAGTCTCTAGGAGTTCCAACGTTAGCGTCTGCGTTATTGCTAGCTAGCTATGCCTTCGTGTAGCGATCTTTCCATCTCTCCCGGATGGAAGAATTTGGTCTGTATGTTCGAATATCCCAAGGATAAGGAGATGAAGACACCTGTGTGATGTCACACCTGTGTGTTATGAAACTCTAGGTTGACTTTACTAAGCAGCTTGAGGCGAGCGCTCGGTGGAGGCAGGTGAGTAAATATAAAAATCTCTGCAGTGTGAGCTAATTAAAGCCAGGTGTGTTCAATAACCCTCCGCCCCTCTTTAACCTGGCCACATCGCCATGGTAACCGACAGAACATTACTTAGTCTGGGCCTGATGCAGAGAGACGCCCCTGTGTGTGACAAACTGAGCTACCTGCTGTGTGTCCACCAGGCTGTGAGCCAATGAGCTATGAGTGTGTAGTACACTCTGTGACCACCAGAGGGCTCCACAGTTTGACGTCTCTTACACAGCACGTTACATAAGAGAACGCTGCTGGACCTTATGTAACACACACTCACTAACACGCACACACACACACACCATAAACAGAGATCAACGTTTTTAATGTAGGATAAAGGATAAATAAATGGAAATGAAAAGAGGAGGTTCTTGAGTTTGAGCTCTGAGGAACAAGTGGCCATACAGTCTGTAGTTTTCTCTTCCAGGGGCGTGTCCAGAGGGGTGACACGCACCCCCCTTGGAATCTGATTGGCCACCCCACCACCCCTAATCAGAGGCGGGACTACCGATGAAATCCACTATTCTGGATTTTTTCAACAGGCTTACTTGAGTCTTTCTATAAAGAATTTCTAAGCAGAAACTTGTGCCTACTGTCTAACATCAACCAACCTTTATTTGTAAAACGCCAATCCATTGATACTTTTGTTGAATGACAGTAACACTCCTTACCTGCAGACATCAGGTGACCTGAACTTTACAACAGGTCTAACTCACATCAGTCTTTTACTTTGAAGTAAACACACTTTGTTTTTAGTTTTTTATTGTTTCTTAAACACAGGGACATTTTCAGGCAGGAGAAATCAACCAATCACAAACAAGTATCATGACATCATACAGCAGGACCGCCTGATTGGCTGGTCACTCTTCAAAGGAAGACAATTGGTGGAGAGCAGTACAGGTGAGGAGGGGCATTTCCACGTGGCACGTTAAGAGTGGTTTACAGGGGTGTGTGTGTGTGTGTGTGTGTGTGTCACTTGACTTTGTTGCCATGGTAATTATTGTCATGCTGAGCCCCACAATGACATTTGTAAACAAAGCAAAAATACATAAACAAAAACAGTCAACAAAAACAAACATGTAAGGACTAAAGTCTTCTTAACCTGTTAACTTAACCTGTTAACAAAAACTAACTCATTAATAACTACCTCGTTAACTAACTCATAAACTAACTCGTTAACTAATTAGTGAACTAACTCAAACTAACTCGTTAACTCCCTCGTTAACTAAACTCACTAAGTCATTACATCTTTCACTAATTATCTAATCTAATTATAAAATCACAAAAACAAGAAATAACAAAAGCTGTGACATCACACACCAGAGCTGTGTCCATGGTTACTAAAGCTCACATCTGATTGGACAAAAAGCTTTCATATGGCTGGTATACAAAACCAGATCAAACCGGATTAAACCAGATCAAACCGGTTCTTTGTCCACAGCTTGTTTTGAATTTGTTAAACTGGACAACCAATCAGAAGCCTTCTTACTGAGTGAAAAAGAGACCAATCAGGAGTCAGAGTGATTGTAAACATTTATGATATGGATGTGAATGAAACGTTTTTTTCATCAATAATCAAAATAAATAAACAATGAATAAATAAATAAACAACACATAAACACGTCAGTCGTTTGGTCTTGTGCTCGTTGATGTGACCGAGGTGTTCGTACTTGGCAGTGACATCACAGCATGTGATTTGATTGGTCGGTTTCAGGGTCAGTGTGTTTTGAGTGAAGCTGCATCGAGGTCGTCGCACAAACAAACAAATCAGAGGAAGAAAAACGAAACGCATCAGTGTTACCACGACGACAGGGACAAACAGACTGTGAATACAGATAAATCATAATTCGGACTGTCAGTGAACACATCATGGAGCTGAGCGGGGAAACGACACGTGGTGTGTGTTTGAGGACATAATGATGAGTGCAGCTTTGACCTGTGTGTGTGTGTGTGTGTGTGTGTGTGTGTGTGTGTGTGTGTGTGTGTGTGTGTGTGTGTGTGTGTGTGTCTATTTGCTGTTGATCCGTAGTTTGAAGGAAACCCGTCCGGCGAACTTGTCCCGCTCGGTGCCTTCGATCAGAGTGTTGGAGTTGATTTTACACTCCACGTTGATGTCCGTGTTCATAGAGGCGTTCAGGAACTTCACGGCCACCAGCGGCTGAGTGTAGTTCACCTGAGACAGTGAACACATCACACACACACACACACACACACACACACACACACATAAATCTTATTCACCATCAAAGCCCACTGACGGTAGATCTACTGACGTTGATCTATGATATGACTGAGAGTGTGTGTGTGTGTGTGTGTGTGTGTGTGTGTGTGTGTGTGTGTTACCTGAGCTTTCTTGCCGTAGTACGGGTAGTACATGAGGTTGAAGGTTCCATTAGGAGGATAGTACGCAAGCTGTCCCATACTGTCACTGTCCTCCCTCTACACACACACACACACAATCATAAGTCAATTTCTACTGTGTTTATAGACTGTACTCTACTGTGTTTATAGACTGTAATCTACTGTTTATAGACTGTACTCTACTGTGTTTATAGACTGTACTCTACTGTGTTTATAGACTGTAATCTACTGTTTATAGACTGTACTCTACTGTGTTTATAGACTGTACTCTACTGTGTTTATAGACTGTACTCTACTGTGTTTATAATCCATACTCTACTGTGTTTATAGACTGTAATCTACTGTTTATAGACTGTACTCTACTGTGTTTATAGACTGTAATCTACTGTTTATAGACTGTACTCTACTGTGTTTATAGACTGTACTCTACTGTGTTTATAGACTGTAATCTACTGTTTATAGACTGTACTCTACTGTGTTTATAGACTGTACTCTACTGTTTATAGACTGTACTCTACTGTGTTTATAGACCGTACTCTACTGTGTTTATAGACTGTACTCTACTGTGTTTATACTGTACTCTACTGTGTTTATAGACTGTACTCTACTGTTTATAGACTGTACTCTACTGTGTTTATAGACCGTACTCTACTGTGTTTATAGACTGTACTCTACTGTGTTTATACTGTACTCTACTGTGTTTATAATCCGTACTCTACTGTGTTTATAGACTGTACTCTACTGTGTTTATAATCCGTACTCTACTGTGTTTATAGACCATACTCTACTATGTTTATAGACTGTACTCTACTGTGTTTATACTGTACTCTACTGTGTTTATAATCCGTACTCTACTGTGTTTATAGACCGTACTCTACTGTGTTTATAGACTGTACTCTACTGTGTTTATACTGTACTCTACTATGTTTATAGACTGTACTCTACTGTGTTTATAATCCGTACTCTACTGTGTTTATAGACTGTACTCTACTGTTTATAGACTACTCTACTGTGTTTATAGACTGTACTCTACTGTTTATAGACTGTACTCTACTATGTTTATAGACGGTACTCTACTGTGTTTATACTGTACTCTACTATGTTTATAGACTGTACTCTACTGTGTTTATAATCCGTACTCTACTATGTTTATAGACTGTAATCTACTGTGTTTATAGACGGTACTCTACTGTGTTTATACTGTACTCTACTATGTTTATAGACTGTACTCTACTGTGTTTATAATCTGTACTCTACTGTGTTTATAGACTGTACTCTACTGTTTATAGACTACTCTACTGTGTTTATAGACTGTACTCTACTGTTTATAGACTGTACTCTACTATGTTTATAGACGGTACTCTACTGTGTTTATACTGTACTCTACTATGTTTATAGACTGTACTCTACTGTGTTTATAATCCGTACTCTACTATGTTTATAGACTGTAATCTACTGTGTTTATAGACTACTCTACTGTGTTTATAGACTGTACTCTACTGTTTATAGACTGTACTCTACTATGTTTATAGACGGTACTCTACTGTGTTTATACTGTACTCTACTGTTTATAGACTGTACTGTTTATAGACTGTACTGTTTATAGACGGTACTCTACTGTGTTTATAGACTGTACTCTACTGTTTATAGACCGTACTCTACTGTGTTTATAGACTGTACTCTACTGTTTATAGACTGTACTCTACTGTTTATTGACTGTACTCTACTGTTTATAGACTACTCTACTGTGTTTATAATCCATACTCTACTGTGTTTATAGACTGTACTCTACTGTTTATAGACTGTACTCTACTATGTTTATAGACTACTCTACTGTGTTTATACTGTACTCTACTGTTTATAGACCGTACTCTACTGTGTTTAAAGACTGTACTCTACTGTTTATAGACCGTACTCTACTGTGTTTATAGACTGTACTCTACTGTTTATAGACTGTACTCTACTGTTTATTGACTGTACTCTACTGTGTTTATACTGTACTCTACTGTGTTTATAGACTGTACTCTACTGTGTTTATAGACCGTACTCTACTGTGTTTATAGACTGTACTCTACTATGTTTATAGACTACTCTACTGTGTTTATAGACTGTACTCTACTGTGTTTATAGACCGTACTCTACTGTGTTTAAAGACTGTACTCTACTGTGTTTATAGACCGTACTCTACTGTGTTTATAGACTGTACTCTACTGTTTAAAGACTGTACTCTACTGTGTTTATAGACTGTACTCTACTGTTTATTGACTGTACTCTACTGTGTTTATACTGTACTCTACTGTGTTTATAGACTGTACTCTACTGTGTTTATAGACCGTACTCTACTGTGTTTAAAGACTGTACTCTACTGTGTTTATAGACCGTACTCTACTGTGTTTATAGACTGTACTCTACTGTTTATAGACTACTCTACTGTGTTTATAATCCATACTCTACTGTGTTTATAGACTGTACTCTACTGTTTATAGACTGTACTCTACTGTGTTTATAATCCATACTCTACTGTGTTTATAGACCGTACTCTACTGTTTATAGACTGTACTGTTTATAGACGGTACTCTACTGTGTTTATAGACTGTACTCTACTGTGTTTATAGACTGTACTCTACTGTTTATAGACTGTACTCTACTGTTTATTGACTGTACTCTACTGTGTTTATACTGTACTCTACTGTTTATAGACCGTACTCTACTGTGTTTAAAGACTGTACTCTACTGTTTATAGACCGTACTCTACTGTGTTTATAGACTGTACTCTACTGTTTATAGACTGTACTCTACTGTTTATTGACTGTACTCTACTGTGTTTATACTGTACTCTACTGTGTTTATAGACTGTACTCTACTGTGTTTATAGACCGTACTCTACTGTGTTTATAGACTGTACTCTACTATGTTTATAGACTACTCTACTGTGTTTATAGACTGTACTCTACTGTTTATTGACTGTACTCTACTGTGTTTATACTGTACTCTACTGTGTTTATAGACTGTACTCTACTGTGTTTATAGACCGTACTCTACTGTGTTTATAGACCGTACTCTACTATGTTTAAAGACTGTAATCTACTGTGTTTATAGACTGTACTCTACTGTGTTTATAGACTGTAATCTACTGTGTTTATAGACTGTACTCTACTGTTTATAGACTGTACTCCACTTTGTTTATAGACTGTACTCTACTATGTTTATAGACTGTACTCTACTGTTTATAGACTGTACTCCACCATGTTTATAGACTGTACTCTACTGTTCTTACCCACTGATCTCTCTCCACTTTGTACCTCTGAAGATGGAGGGACGCAGAGATGGAGACAACACATGAGATGAAGACAGATGGTCTAACAGACAGTGAGACAGATAGTGAGAATGATAGTCAGACAGTGATCCAGTGAGACAGATGAGCAGACAGTGAGACGGATAGTCAGACAGTGAGACAGATAGTCAGACAGATAGACAGACAGTGAGACAGATAGATGACCGACAGATTCAGACCTTGGCTCCACAGGTGACATAAGGAGACTGACCGTCCTTCCCTGGCAACATACCAATAACCTGGAGAGACAGACAGGTCAGCAGAAGAGGGTGACTGTTAGTTAAAGAGATATTCAGATTTTTTTCACAGGTGTGGTTGTATGAGGTACTTGTATTTCCCACAGGAGATGCCCGTCAGCTAAGTCTATGGTGTACACCGAGTTTAAACCAAAATTGTTTTTTACGTCGTAGATCCTTGAAATTTGCAAAATGACGTGGTACAACTGACCCTGTCTGCAGCAAAGTATAGTTTAGCATCCGTGCAGGCACAACAAGTTGTTCGGCTGTGCACAGGACGATTAATTTAGCTATGGGACAAGTTTTTTGCCCATACTGGGGATCATTCATTTGGCCGTGAAAGTAGTTCAGTCTCGGGGGGGGGGTCATGTATGCTCTCTGCATGGAGATACAGATGGAGCCTTCTGCTTGTCGTCTGCGTTCATTTCATCCGTATATCTGCATGTTTTCTGGAAGCTTACGGATCAAACCAAACGTTGGAATACCACCAGGAATGGTGGGGGCAGTGTTGAGTGGTGTAGCCAACAGTTCAAGCCAGACCAGCAAAACCCAACAGAGAAAAAAATTAACTTTGGAAAATGTAGGAGCTTTAAAGTTATATATGATGTTAGCTCGCCCGGGAGCAGGGGCTTACAACTAGACCGGAACAGCTGGGCCTTCGCACTGTTTTGTGTTTGTGGTCAGTTCAACTTACCCGGTTCAGTTTGATGAGGATGCAGGGCTGACCGCTGCTGTAACCGTAGAAACGATCAGAAATTCCAGAACACTCCTCCAACATTGTCCGATTAAACTGACAGGAACGCTTCGGGTTGTTCCTTACCTGCGGAGAGACAGAAAGGTGTGGGGTTGAGACAGGTTTGAGAAAAAGAGAGAGAGAGAGAGAGGGAAGGTTTACCTCTGCACTGTCTTCTTGAATGAAGTATTGATCCGGAGGGCAGTTATCATTGGTCTGAACCTGATAGCTGTCGTTGTACGCTGCAGACAGACAGGGAGACCAACATGACTCATATTGATCAGGACGTTCAGAAAAGGTTCATTTTAATTGAAACAATAAGAAATGAGACATGGCATCTAAAGTCGTATGATTGTATCACTGTAACGTTAACGATCTACTACATCACATCATTAAATATTCACAATAATTAATAATCGTCTTACGAGAGAGGAACGTGTTGAGGTTCTGGATTAAACCGTCCCAGCTTTCAGTCTCTGACACTGAGAAAGTGATCTCCAGCTGATCGCCTTTAGGACGAATCATCATCCCTGAAATGCAAACTGCTCGTTAACCAATGAGTCAAACAGCCAATCATTATCTCTGAAACATAGAACCCACTCAGATGATCAAGTGTGCTTGCTTGTGTTACCTGGAGTGGCCAGGCGGTCCTGCCAGGTGGGTTTATAGTCGTCGAGGGTCAGCAGCATGATGTACATGGTGAGGACGAACATCCCAGCCAGGAACAGGTAGAAGACCAGGTAGAAGAGCAGGATCAAACCTGGGGGGGAGGGGGACTTATTTTATCATACAGTAAAGCATATCACATCCTCTCATCCCCCCTCCTCTAAATGTCATCTTTATAATCCTCTTGTCTTTAGCCCCGCCCCCTGCTGATGACCTACATTCAGTGTGAATGGAGGAGGGGGAGGGTGTAATCTCACTGTTCAGAGTTTCAGCTCCCTCTCTCTTCTCCTTATTGGTTATTTTAAACTGACATTACCTGTAGTCATTTTAAGCACTGTAACAAGTTTAATGAATAAATCATTTTAACGTTACGACAGAATCCTGCGCTTTGATTGGTTGTAACAGTATAACATCTGTTGTAAATAGGATGGATTTTAAGCGAGTGAGATTAAATGATAGTGGTTTAAAGAGGCCTCAGACAGTTCAACAAAAGCAATCAGAAAATGTTTAGATATTTTCTACTGTGCCATTTCTCATGGGAAAGATAAAACCTTTTTAAAACAAGCACAAAACACGTCACTGTCAGCTGACTAAACAAGTAATATGTCTGCCTGCAGAACACAAACATGGCAGCTCCATCTCTTCTGTCTCATTCATATCCTCTGACCAGTGACTGCACATTCTACTGCAGTCACTGCACATGTTCTTCTGCAGAGTCACTGCACATGTTCTACTGCAGAGTCACTGCAAATGTTCTACTGCAGTCACTGCACATGCTTTAATGCAGAGTCACTGCAAGTTCTTCTGCAGAGTCACTGCACATGTTCTACTGCAGTCACTGCGAATGTTCTCCTGCAGAGTCATTGCATATGTTCTACTGCAAAGTCACTGCACATGTTTTCATGCGGTCACTGCACATGTTCTCAAGCAGAGTCACTGCACAAGTTCTTCTGCAGAGTCACTGCAAATGTTCTACTGCAGAGTCACTGCACATGCTTTACTGCAGAGTCACTGCAAGTTCTTCTGCAGAGTCACTGCACATGTTCTACTGCAGTCACTGCACATGTTCTCATGTAGAGTCACTGCACATGTTTTTCTGCAGAGTCACTGCAAATGTTCTACTGCAGAGTCACTGCACATGTTCTCATGTAGAGTCACTGCACAAGTTCTTCTACAGAGTCACTGCACATGTTCTCATGTAGAGTCACTGCAAATGTTCTACTGCAGAGTCACTGCACATGTTCTTCTGCAGAGTCACTGCAATGTTCTACTGCAGAGTCACTGCACATGTTCTTCTGCAGAGTCACTGCAAATGTTCTACTGCAGAGTCACTGCACATGTTTGTCATTAAGAGTCACTGCACATGTTCTCATGTAGAGTCACTGCACATGTTCTACTGTAGAGTCACTGCATATGTTTGTCATTAAGAGTCACTGCACATGTTCTCATGTAGAGTCACTGCACATGTTCTACTGCAGAGTCACTGCACATGTTTGTCATTAAGAGTCACTGCACATGTTCTCATGCAGAGTCACTGCACATGTTCTCATGTAGAGTCACTGCACATGTTCTCATGTAGAGTCACTGCACATGTTTTTCTGCAGAGTCACTGCAAATGATCTACTGCAGTCACTGCACATGTTCTCATGTAGAGTCACTGCACATGTTTTTCTGCAGAGTCACTGCAAATGTTCTACTGCAGAGTCACTGCACATGTTCTCATGTAGAGTCACTGCACAAGTTCTTCTGCAGAGTCACTGCACATGTTCTCATGTAGAGTCACTGCAAATGTTCTACTGCAGAGTCACTGCACATGTTCTGCAGAGTCACTGCAAATGTTCTACTGAGAGTCACTGCAAATGTTCTGTGCAGAGTCACTGCACATGTTCTCATGCAGAGTCACTGCACATGTTCTCATGTAGAGTCATGCACATGTTCTACTGTAGAGTCACTGCACATGTTCTC